CCCCCCCAATTCGGGAGCAGCACCCCCTGCAGGGCTGCCTGGATGCACTTGCCCCTGACCTGGCCAGAAGGCAGGACACAAAGTGTTGTCTTCTCCCCTCCAGGGGAATCCCCGCTGCACACCACCCCCACCTCTGGGCGCTTTATATAATTTTCTAAATATAAAAGGCCCAAGGCCAAGCCAGAGCCTCTGTTTTTTAACTTTTAGCCTGCGTTCCACTTGGGGGTGGTTGTTTGAGAAGAGGAAAAAGCGGTGTCCCACATGGAAGCACGCACACAGGGCAGGGTCTTGTACTTGGCTAAGCTCCCACAGCTCCGCGCCCCTCGGTGCTCTCCTCCCCTCTCCCCTCCGCGGGCGGCCAGCTGGGAGACACAACATCCTCCCAGCCTGCTCCTGGACAGCAGACACACCTGCTCCGCCCTCTGCAGCGCTGGCCTCTGTCCCAGTTGTCACCTGGTGCACAGTGGGACACATTCACAGGCACACACCCGTGACACACCCTGATGGCGGACCCAGTAACACAGCAGGTGTGCATAACTCCACATGCACACAGGTGCACACCTAGACCCAGATACAGATACACATGCTCACACAGACTGGCACCTGCGCTGTGGGGTCCCACCCTGCTTTCCCACCTCGTGCTCCGGCCACGTAGCTACAGGGCCTGGCGAGCACAGAGCTCAGCTTTCTGGGGAGTGCATGGGCTGGCCACGGGGCAGTGTGTGTGTGCCTGGGAGGGGCTCTGCTGGGGCCATGCGTGGATGCTGCGCGCGTAACTTGTGTTGGTGTGTGTGTAGCTGTGCACGAGGACGCTTTGTAATCGGGGTTGTCTGCACACATGTGTGGGGCTGTGTGACTGCGTGTATACCACTCATTGGGATTCTGTGTGTGTGCGCGTGCACACATGGCCAGCCCTCTCGTGCCCCACACATGCTCCTCATGACCAGGGACTTCTCTTCCCTTCCCAAAGCCACTGTTCACCCTCCGTAAAGTGGGGACACAGTAGCAGCCCCTCACGTACAGGAGGGTGGTTCTGTCACAGCCGGGCTTTCGCTCAGTCTGCACAATGCCGGCCTGGTGCTGTGTGCATTCTCTGTGCGTGGAAGCCCTGGGGCCCCCTCGTGGGCTCCCATGACCTCTGTCTGAACCCCCGTTCTCTGTGAATCCCATTTACCTTTGAAAGTTTGCCTTTTAGTTTGCACACACCATTCTTGAACATGTAGAGGATGCAAAATATTGGGGAGGAAGGTAGAGCCTTCCTCATCACTCCCGAACCAGGTGGGACCCCACTCCAGAGAAGACCCTATTTTCATCCAGGGTTGAGACCAAAAATTGGTCTCAGCAATTGATAGTAACAGATAGTCTTATAAAGCAGTTCACATGCAACAGATACTTTCTTATAAAGCAATTCATGTGTAATATCTACTTCTTACAAAGCATACGTGTGTGTATTTATAAGGGATACATACAGTATTCTTTTATAAATACCTCAAATGAGACCCAGAGCCTACTAGCTGAGTCTGGAGCAGGATTCTCAGCCCCAGGCGGCTCTGCCTCAGGGGACACTGGGCAGTGTGGGCATTTGTAGTTGTGACACTGTGGTGTTCCTGGCAAGAAATGCATGGAACTGCACAGTGCCCAGGATGACTCCCCTACTCCCCCCCAACCCCTGACAAAAACTACCCTACTGCCAAGGAGGGAGACTTGATTCCCCTGCATGGCTTTGGAGACACCTCCAGATGGAGCTTTTATGGCGCTGTATAGTATTCCAGCACGGGCCTTTGCCTGTATTGCCAAACTGACCCCCCCGCCCACAGATGGGCCTTGAGAGAGGCAGTCTGTGTTCCCCAAGCCTTAACCTCAAAAGGAACCTAAAGTGCTTGTGCAAGTTGCAGATGGTACAGGGTAGGGGAAATGTGGGGCTCTATGCCCAAGAACCGTCAGGTGGCAGTTAAATGTCTGGAGTTGGGGGTTCTGCCCTATGTATGCCTGAGGCATTTTTGAGACTAAAAATTGCTGTGTTCTGTTGGCATTTGGATTCTTAGCCACCCCACCTCCCCATCCATCCTGGCACGCAGTGCCCCTCAGAGGCGCAGGCAAGGGGGCCGTGTTAAACATTTGTGGAGTGTTCGTGATGTGCTAAGCAAGGTCTGAACACCAACCATCACCCATAGCAGTGGGAAGCCTGGGGGCCCCAGGAATCTGTGCTCCCTTCGGACCCTGCTCCCGCCTAGTTCAGCCCTGGCGTGTGGCTTCCATTCTGCAGTCCTCCGTTTCCCCACAGGCTTGCTGGCATTTTCCATGGCCCTGGAGACGGGGCAGGTGCCCCAAATGGTGAGAGGTTATCTTGGTCTTCGGGATGCCTGGCGACGTGAATCAAAATGACCGAGCTTTGCTTTCTAAAAGTGTCTTTGAAGTTCCCTGGTGGTCTAGTGGTTAGGATTCGGTTGCTTGCGTGCTCCTCTCTCTCTCTCTCTCTCTCTCTCTCTCTCTCTCTCTCTCTCTCAAAGTGTCTTGGGGTTCTTGGCACAGAGGGTCAAGGTTGTGTCATCCTTATGCAGATGAACCCCAGGGGGTGGTTCCTGGTGGACCACTTCA